AAATTTTGTCCAAAAAGTTAATATAGTGTAAAGGTCAACCCGGACCCGCACCGCACCGGGCTCGGGCACGTGCCGTGCCGAGCCGGTCGGATGGACGGCGGCGGCGGCGCGCGTGTGGGTTTATGACCGAACCCAATGGGATATAGGTCTTCCCCCTTCCAAAAACTATTGGTACCCCTTGGGGCCCAAACCCTATTCCAAACTTTCACTTTATAAACCACACCAAAGTTTCCTAACTTTCCTATGTGGGATAAGAGTTTGACAAATCAAATTCTTCCATAATCCTTAGTTTATGTGGGTTACTTTAACGCTTAATATTTCATTCAATTTTAAATTGTTTTCGATAAATAAATATATCACGTTAATCATCTCGCGGAGTAGAACGTGAATATGCTAGGTCCCGCATTATTTAAAAGGTGGGTCCCACTGAAATTTGGGCTCAAAGTTGACCCATTAAACCATTTTTTCCAACAGTCGTAACCTTAAGCAAGAAGAGGAAGGCACTGTCATTGATGTTAGACCTTATCCATAAAATGAATGTCTTAGAAGAAGGTTGTCTGTGGTAGAAAGGTAATTAGTTGCAGATGATTTAACTGGATAGGTTTTGACTATTTGCAAGAGCATTTTAAAGTTTTGAGGGATGTTCTAATCAAAGAATAATAAGAATTACGACACGTATAAGTATAACAAGTGGTTTAAAGGATCATGTTTGAAATCACTAGAAGTTTAGCCTTCCACTTATAGGCCATTGGTTAATTCCTAGAATTTGGCGAATTTGATTTTCATTTACATGTCTGTCTAATATACTCCTTTTACATCCAAGCTGGGAAAAATACTCCCATAATTCTGAGGCAAAAAAATCTTATTAGGAATTTCTTTGTTCCAAGTTGTTATAAGTATTGGTAATATAAGGTGGTCAATGTCTGTGTGCCGATTTATTATCTTATTCGCTTCTTTTGTTCTCAGATTCATCCTGTTTTAATGCTTATAGGATTTATCATCATTGGAGGTGAAGGTAATTGAAACAAGTTCCTAAGTTATAACAACATATTAAATGAACATCTAGCCTTAATTATGAATTTGTGATTGACTTCTTTATGTTCTCTCTCTGTCTTTGTCTCTGTCTCTATGTTTTCCCTCAATGCAGCCGTTATGAGTTACAAATGTCTCCCGTTGAAGAAGCCAGAGAAGAAACTAATACATCTAGTTTTGCATGCTCTTGCTCTCATACTCGGCATAATTGGAATATACACAGCATTCAAGTTTCACAATGAAAGCAATATTGCCAATTTATACAGTTTGCACTCTTGGCTTGGAATTGGTGTTATTGTTCTCTACGGCATTCAGGTACTGTTCCATTATATAAACTTCATTTTACTCTTGGCCAAATGTAATGCTGATTTAAAACTTATGTTTTTTGTATTGCTTGCTATAAGTCTTTGAATCTTTCCTTGCTAAAAGGCACCTTATCGCTTATGTTTTCATTTTCTTTTGTTACGTCTTCAATGTTTTTCTTGAGTGCGAACAAGCTGAATAACGTTGAAACTGGATTTCCCATTGATTTCTTGATAAGGATCTCTGGCTTTCTGAACATTGGTTTATCACAAATGAAAATCTTGTTACTATGCAGACTTTGGTGCCAGAACTATATTTGGGCCTTCAAACATGTTATGTAGAAAAGTACTTAATGTGCTTTACTCACCATGGTTTTTTCATTTGTCATATTGGGCTAATTTATCATATCTTTGCCCCTTGTTCAGCTTCTTAAATAGAGACCTTTTTCTCCTCTTCCTTTCTGTGATCCTATTGAACTAAAACTTTAGTTAGTTCCCTCTATTTCTCCTGAGAATCTCCTATTCTAATGCTATTCTAATTTGCAGTGGATTTATGGTTTCCTCATTTTCTTCTATCCTGGAGGTACAATGACAATCAGAAGCGAGTCACTCCCATGGCACATTCTGTTTGGCATTTTCGTGTACATTTTAGCTGTTGGCACTGCTACACTAGGATACCTCGAAAAACTTACGTTCCTCCAGAACTCTGGTCTCGGAAAATATGGCGCAGAGGCTTTCCTTGTCAACTTCACAGCCATTATCACAGTCTTGTTTGGGGTATTTGTGTTCTTGACAATTCTTTCTCAGCCTCCTCAAGAAGATGAACACAGTTACTCAGCTATATAATGTCATCTACAGTTGCTCTGTCTGTGCTTTTCTTATAGTCCTCTTGTAATATAAGGGTGTGAGCTATTTCTCGTTGTGAGTATATATGTATTTGCATACGTGAAACTTGTTTTCCATCTAATTGTTCTGCAGTTAAAGTTATCATTTTGTAACAATTGAGTGGCTCCGTATGGATGCATTTAAATGTTTGGCCAAGCTTAAAAGTCAGCCAAATAAGTTTATTCCCAAAAGAAGTAATTTATTTCCACCCATTTGACTAACAAAAGAACTGTATGGATTTATATAGAAATAAACTTTCTTATAATTAATTTTTTAAGCTTAGCCAAACGTGTAGGATGAATAGGAATGTATAGAAGAGACTCATTCGTATAAAAACACATGAATGCGATGCAAGTAAACTATTTTTGTAATATAAAGAAAGTTGTAACCTTCAAAATAAAAGCCAATTTTAAATTTGCAGTTTCAGTTTTAATTTCAACTTTAATATAAAATTAAAATTAATAATTTTGGAGTGTAACTTAAATTATAATTGGAATAATTCTCCTTACTGGAGCGGTTGTTTTTTAATCTATAAAAGGAATGGGAATTTTCATTGTTACAACATGAAAATACATTACTTTTCACATATATTTATATAGTTTTGGCAACTCGATGAAAAACTCGTTATTTATATCCCTTGTGGTTTTGCTCGTAAAATCCTCTCAAAAAAATTCTATTTTTTTTCCCGGGGAAACATAAACAACAAAAAACTAGCCAGGTATTGGAAAATTAGACCTTACTTTCAAAAAGCTTACTTCGCTTTATAAGAAGGAAAGTAACCTTTTTAGGGAGATCTCACCAAGTGCAAGCGCGATGACCATGGCCATTGTGTGTGATGAAATGAACTATAATTTTGTCTTCTTGAGGAGTACACGTACCTTTTTTCAGTGATTCTCTCTTTCTTCTTCTCTATCTCATCGTTCTTTTCCATTCTTTCTGTTGACAAATAAAAATTCAGCCCAAATTGAACAGCCCAAGGAGTGAAGCCCAATTAGAGGATCCCCAAATCAGATAGCCCAAAGAAACGAAGCACAATCGAACAATTCAAGATGAAGGTCCAAATAAGGAGGCCCAAGAACGCGGTAACGCCATCGCCCAAGTTTGCAAGTCGCCCAGAATTTGAGCGAATGGAATGTCATACAGTCGCCCAGAATCTGAGCGAATGGAGTATCATACAGTCGCCCAGAACTGTTACTCTATTCTCGCCCAAACCTTCAAGTCGCCCAAGGTCTTAACAAACATAAAGCGTCGTAGTTATCAAGAAGTGCAGTTATCAAAGCAGTTATTAAAGCAGTCCTATCACGTTCTACGATTCAAGGAATTCAATCGAAGGCGGTTGAACGATGAAGAGTAATGACAGCAATTAAAAAAGGCAATTTTCATGACAAGTTGGCCATTACGAAGAAAGTGGGCAGTTATAGGACGATTAAGCAGTTTTTAGGGCGGTTGATCACAAAGAGATCGTCCATGAAGTATAAAAGGGAGAAAGGATATAGAAGCAAAGGACCGAATCCAAAACTCTCGAACAGAGAACATGTAATTTTCATTTCCTTAGTTTTTAGATTTAAACACTTTTTTTTCAGTAACTCGTGTGCTTGCGCCCCTTGGAGGCACGTTGTTTTTAATTTCCAATTGTAAAGTCATCGCCAATAAAAGAACACCCCTTTTTGGGACTTTGTCTCAAGAGGTTTGTCCCTTACACAATCGTCTGATCCTTTTTAATTGTTGGCGACTAACCCGCGCGAAACAATTTGGCACGCCCAGTGGGACAGTGGTGTTAGGTGTTGAAATACAAAAGGGGGAACAATATGCCTCAGAGATCCGATAAGGAAGCAGCAAGTCAGGGAGGAATCCAGTCTGTGATCGAGCGATATGAGGTGCAGCATGCCTCTCCACGAACAGATGGACAGAATCAGAGCAGTAACAGTCGTTACGAACCAATGACGGAGTTGAGTCCTCGAACCATGCGTGCATTACTTGGAGAACTCACGTAAGACGTCGTTGAACTGGTAAATCCTCGAAGTATTCATAATATGGAAAGATTTACGCAAAATGGGAATGTACACTATGACAACATGGCCAAACAACTAAAGACGTTGAACGAAACAATGAATAAGTTAGTAGGCCAAATATGTCAACCGGCTATATCTCTTATAAATAGGGCTGGGCAAATCTCCCGAACCGAACCGACCGAACCGAACCCGAACCGAACCGATCCGAACCCGACGGTTCTTGTCAAATTAAATACCCGAACGGGTATCTGAATTGAGAACCGACGGGTACGGTTCGGTTCTCGGTTCTAGACCAAGAACCGAAGAACCGAATAAGAACCGAATCTTTCTAATTTTTTTTTTTTATATTGAGTAAATCAAATTATTTTAATTTTAATTTTTTCTAAACAAATTAACAAATTAATGATTTCTAAATCCAAATTTTTGGCCCAATAATTTGTTTCATTTCTAAGTTTTTAATTTTTGGCCCAATTACCCATTTTATTGTTTCATTTCTTAGCCAAACAAATCAAATCCACTAAATAACCCTAAGCACCTACAATAAAGTGCATAACGTTGTCTCGACTCTCGCACTCACTCTCGCAGCCTATCTAATATTCCAAAACCTATACAATCGTCGGCCGACACTCTGACCTCCGATCAAAGCCGTGACTTTCCCCGACTGAAGCTTTGATCGTAGCGATCATTTGAACAAGATAGTTTACTAATCTCTGACATTCCAAAACTATTGAATGTATCATTAGTCGTATTTATATAACGTTGTTATAAATGTTAAAAAATTTAATTATAGTACAGAACCGAACGGAACCGAACCGATCCGAACCGAACCGAATGGAACCGAACCCGAACGGTTCCATAATTATATTTGGACCCGACGGTTCCATTTACTAGATACCCGAAAAGTTTGGTTCGGTTCGGTTCTAAAGAGAACCGAACCGAACCGACCCGCACCCACCCCTACTTATAAATAACTTTCAAACTAGGACAATCGTGGGACATAATCTCTCGGTCCTAAATCCGAATCAAGGGGTAGAACCGCTTTCTGGTCCCTCTACTTCAAACCACGGGGGTACTACAGTGCCAAATCAAAACAATGGTAGTGGTATGCCTAACTTGGGGGTAATCCAAACGTGAGAGATAATGTCCTAAACAATGGACAGAATATTTCACGTGGTAATGAGGGAATAGATGTTCAGGCTAATGGTAATGGCCCTAATCATGGTAATTTTGTTGCCAATCAAGGACCAAACATCAGGCCTCATGCAAATCAACCGGTTAACCAACCTGTAGGAGTTCCATATGACCCCAACGTCATGTTGAGAAACCAGATTATGGAAATCGTACAGGATCAGATGGTTTTTGGGGTGCGTCCCGTCATTAGGCCGAAGTACACAAAGCCATATCCTGATTGGGTAGACCAAGCATATCCATGGCCTAGAGGGTACAAAGTGCCAGAATTCTCACTGTTTACCGGTTTAGGAGAGGTGTCTACTCTAGAACACATAGGGCGATTCACATTGCAAAGTGGTGATGTAATCGATTACCATAAAATGAGGCTTTTCCCTAGTTCGTTAATAGGAGTAGCTTTCTCTTGGTTCATCAACTTGCCAGCGAACTCTGTTCAAACATGGCAACAATTGGAACAGTTGTTTCACGCTCAGTTTTACAAAACTGAGTCTGAAGTCACTTTGGCTGATTTGGCGAATCTACGTCAAATGCCAAACGAATGGGCAGAAAGTTTTCTCCAAAAGTTCAAGACAGCAAGAAGCAAGTGTTTTGTACCTCTGCCCGAAAAAGAATTTGTCAAAATCGCTCAGGGTTGCTTGAGCTTTTATTTAAAGAAGAAATTCCAGGACAAGGAATTTCCTGACCTTTTCCAGCTGAATGCGAATGTGATTAGGTATGAGCGACTGATAAGAGAGGAAAAATAAATGAAAAATTCTAGTAAAGGGACTTATTACAAAGACCCAAATTTTGACGTTCATACCATCGACGACGAGTTATACGACCAGGCCGAAATGTGTTTGGCCGAATTGGTCAAAGGGGATATATATACTTGTCCCATAATGGCCAAGCCTAGACCATCGGGCAAAGATGAGCCCATAAAAGATGGAAACATAAAGGCTAGAACGTTCTCGTTCGACGTGACCAAAGCTGACCTTATATTCGATAAATTATATAGGGATAAGCAGATAAAGTTCAGCGATAAGCACAAATTGCCAAACCCTGAACAAATTAAGGGTAAAAAATATTGTAAGTAGCATAATGCATGGTCACATTTGACTAACAATTGCTTGGTTTTCCGTCATGTATTGCAGGATGCCATTGAATCAGGACGAATTACGTTTGATGATAAGAAAAAGATGGCAGTGGACGAAAATCCTTTCCCACAGCCACTTGGAGTAAACATGGTGACATCTAGATTTAAAAATAAGTTGCCAAAATTCAAGTTGGTCGTAGATGATGGAGAAGAAGATCCTAGACTACATCCCAGCGTCTTTGAACGAATCAAGGGGAAAGAACCAACAAAGGACGAAGATGTCTTGTGTGCAAGGTGTAAAAGAGAAGTGAATGGAAACATGGAGAAACCAGGGACATGACAGCATCCTCATCGCCCTACCTTCTTCCCAAACATTCAGCCTGGTAGAGGGCGAGGTACATCATTTTATAGAAGACCGCCTTTTGAGAGGCAGTTCAGGCCAGCAGATAATGGAAGAACATTCAGGCCGCAACCTCGCCGGCCAAATGTATGGCATTCATTCCAGTACAATGCAGGAAGGGCAATACCCTTCGATGAGATGACTAGGACCCAACAAAGGCGTTTCCAATGAAACTACGGACGGATGATGAGGCAGCAATAGGGAATGCCACATCCTAAAGCGCCTAAACTACTCAAGGTAGCAAATCAAAATGTCCTCAAAAATAGTGAAGAGACCGGTACAGATGAATCAATGAAGGAACTGCCAGAAACTTCTTCTGGGAAATCAAGGTTTAAGAGAGACAGAAGGGATGAAGAAGATCCAGATCAGCCCCTTGCTATCCAATTCGGTACGTTGCCTCCTGTAGTGGCCAATAATTACCTACTGGCCAATGAATTCAAGAAT